CTAAACCCTAAACCCTAAAACCGAGGATCAGATCAAGGTTGACCCGACCACGGTTTCTGGGGCTCACTTCGCATGGCACTCCCAGATTTTGGAGCACCAGCAACACCTGAGGTATTGGGTGGCCTTTTAGGGCTTAGGGCCTATAGGAGTTTGGGTTTGGGGGTTTAGGGTTTAGGGTTTAGGGGTTTAGGGGTGTAGGAGTTTAGGGGTTTAGGGTTTAAGGGTTTAGGGTTTAAGGGTCAGGGTTGAGGAGGTAGTGCACGGGTTCCTGTAAAGGTTCTTTAGAGGGTTTCCAAAGGTCACCACCTACTATAAGAATGCTGTAAGATAGGGGCCTCAATCATTAGGATAGGGTTTTGGAGGGCAGTATATTCTACTACACTCTTCATCGAGACTGTAAGGGGGCGGTACGACCGTGACAATGGGGTTAAGGGTTTAGGGTTGCGTAATTATTCGATCCCTCCCACAGCTGACAAGGTTTGAAGGTTTTAGTTTTGGGCGCGGGATTTGTTCAGGAAATAAAACCATGTGTCATAAAGGAGTAGGGGAGGGGGGTAGTTGGCCTTAATACCACTACTGAAGCCTGTTTCAGGAAGTATAGTCAGTACAGATTCCCATCACCCTCACTCCCTCAAGATTCCTTATGAACTTGTCTTCAAGACTTACGCGAACATTTCATAAGATTCGTCCATAATCGAGTTTCGCTTCCCGGCTGCCTGGACCCACGCCAGTTGTTCGTTCTGCTAAAGGGTCCATGTGCCCAAAGGGTTCCTTTGAGAGTGTGCCCTAAACCCTAAACCCTAAACCCTTCCCGCTGTCCCTTTCAGAAAGGTTGGCTCCTTACCCTTTGAGCACCTTCTCGTCACGTGCACACTCCTTCCTTCGAAGGTGTGGAACTTACGGTTTAGGGCTTAGGGTTTAGGGCTTAGGCCTCTTAGTTGCTACCAGGTAACTCGGTAACAAGAGACGAGCTGTACAAGGGCCTATAAAGCGGATTTGAAAAATAGTCTGGACCTTGAGGTTTTAGTTGCAAGGCCCAAGATTCGCAAGAAGCAAAACCAAAGGTAAAGAAGGCAGGGCCTGTTTGCGGTTTCCGACAGGAATCTAAATCCAAACCCTATACCATCATGTACCATCCTATACCCTGAAACCTATCACCCTACCCCAGACTCCATGGGGGCCTAGGCCCTAAACCCTAAACCCTAAACCCGAAACCCTAAACCCTAAACCTTAATCGAAGCCATGTCGCACGATCCTGGACACCCTGGTCTTTCATGTTCGAAAAACCCCAGTCCTGGGTTGGGATTGGGATAGGTTTAGGGTTTAGGGTTTAGGGCTTAGGGTTTGGCGACTGAGGATCTGCAAGCGCATGTTGGCGGTCGTGAAGGGTCAGTTGTGGGCTATGTTAGGCTAACAAAGTTCTGAATGTTCTGAGTTACGCTACATTCAGGAATGTCGTATCAGGTTGCGCAAATACGGAACTGTATAGTGAACATCATATGGGGGTTTCCGAAAATAAGGAACCCTAATATAGTACCCAAAATAGTAGGATCCTTATTATAAGGACCCCAAAATAAGGTACCCCTAATACTCGGAAACCCCCATTTTTTACAAAGAACCGAGAAGCCTCTCGGGACTTGCCATAGCCGGTAACGATTTGCAAAGGGCCCCTCAATCTGCGGGTCAAAGAGGGTACCACCTGGGAGTTTCCGAAATCAAGGGGTACCTTATTCTGGGGTCCATATAATAGGGATCCTACTAGTTAGGGTACTATATGAGGGTCCCCCATTTTCGGAAACCCCACCTCGGCCAGCCACCAAACCACTGCGATGGAGGCGGCACCTTTCAGAAATCCCCTTTGCAGCAGCCTTTATGCTAGACTCCGTATGACTACCTAAACCTTAAACCCCAAGGCCTAAACCCCGAAACACCCCCCTAAACCCTAAACCCTGAACCCTAAACCCTAGGATCCGTATTCGCGGACTCGGCCTGGTGAGAGATAATGTACATCCTGGGCTTCGAAGTAGCCACGGACAAAACGGTTTAGGGTTTAGGTTTTTTTTTGTTTTAGGGTTTAGGGTTTAGGTTTTTTTTAGGATTTAGGGTTTAGGGTTTATTTATAGGGATACTAATTTCATACTGGCTCCTTTAAGGAACAAGTCCACAACAAAAAAACTGATAAAGTAGAGTACTCCAGAACCCAGCATCTAGGATGCCGTCTTTACTGAGGATGCCTGGCCACACTTTCCTGGGTTCTTGGTAAAGAATCTGAATTTAAGTTACCATAATACGGAAACTATCATGTATGTACCTACGGATCCCCTAATGTTACACTAAAGTCCTTAACCCTAATCCCTAAACCCTAAACTTCCCTAAGCCCTGAACCCTAAACACTCAAGCCCAGGATAAATAGAAACTGCTTGTGCTTCGTTTTTCAATGCTTGACTGACCGAATAGAAGCACAAAAGCGAAAGTTCCAGAAACAATTAAATGTGTTTCCGAGGCGCATAGACATTCAAAAAAGAAGACTCCAAAATAAAGATTGTTTTGGCGGGTGGCTTGAAAGTTTCTCTTTCCGGGATTGTGGCTCCGGACAGGTGCAGGATTGTGTTTTTGCTAATCAGTTTCTGGGATTGTGCTTCCGGATACAATTGTGTTTTCGAGTTCAACAGCGCAGGTGTTTCCTGAATTAAAGAGGTCACTGTTTGACGGACAGAATATGTAGAAGCACAAAACGAAAATTCCAGAAACAAATGTGTGTCCCCGGCGCCTAGACATGCAAAAATGAAGATTCCAAAAACAAGGTTGTTTTGGAGGGTGGCTTGAAAGTTTCCCGGATACGTGTTTCCGGACCCGCACGGTGTATCCGGGACCGGGTGGTGTTTCCGGACCGGATTTGTGTTTCAAGCTTTCTGTTTCCGGAGATCCATTTCCGGGATTCTGTTTCCAGCCTGGGATTGTGTTTGCGGACCGGGATTGTGTTTCCAGGATTGTGTTTCCGGGCTGGGATTGTTTCCGGACCGGGATTGTGTTTTCGGTAATCAACTTCCGAGATTGTGTTTCCGGATACAATTGTGTTTTCGAGTTCAAGAGGGTTAGTGTTTCCTGAACTAAGGAGGGAAGAAAGAACAGGGTGGAAAGCGGGAGGGGTTTCTCCCATGGGTGAGTGGCTGGAGCAAGTCAACTCCCAAGACGCCAGGACTTGCGGCCTCATCGGGTCTTTCGTGATGGGCCAACATCTTGGTTTTTGCCTGGGAGGCAGATTCAGTGAACCCAAATTTTCGTGATTTTGTAACCATTTGCAGCTCACATGTTGACTATCCGGCGAACCCAAACATCGCAAAATTTCGTGAACTTTGACAATTTATTTAAGGTATCACCTAAAAACCTCCAAAAATAGCGAGAATGAGATCTTGTTTGCTTATTTTGCGGCTTGCGGAAAGCACAAAAACTTGCAAGTCTTCGTGAATGTTGACCATTTTGGGCTTCCCCAGAACCTCAAGCGTTGCTATAATAACATGTTTCGGATTTTCGGAACCCCGAATTGCAAATTCGGAACGATTTTTGAAAATTGAATTGAAAAGTATTCAAGCAAAAAGCAGAACTGAGCAAAAGCAAAAGGCAAAACCCGCACAAAACATCACGAAACCCAGGACCTGAACCCTAAACAGTGTCTACAAACCCCAAACCCAAAGCCCTAACACGAACCCAGTTTCGCTTCCAGGGCTTGCCGGAAGAGAGGGTAGCAGACTGGCTCACGCACGACAGCATCCAGCAATTGGTTATAGCCTTCGTTTAGGGTTTAAGGAATAAGGCTTAAGGATTAGGGTTTACGGATTGGGGTTTAGAGTTGAGTCAAACTTCAGTTTTGAAGCGGGCGAAGGGGGTGTGTGTGTGTATACATATATATATATATATCCAAAGCTAAATGCGTACTGATTCAGCCACCATGTAGCAAATCAAATTTGGGGGCACTTCGCTGCCAGACATGTCTTCCAGAAGGCAAACAGACCTTTGCCAGGCTGACCCTGCTGCGCAAGCACCCAATGCTGCTCCATACATTTGCAAGTTCATGGGGATCTGGCTGTCCTGCATAGCGTGCAACAGCTGAAGCGCATATTCCCATCGCCCACTTTTATGACATGCTGCCAGCACTCCACTGAAGGCGCGTTCCCCTGGCGTCAGCTTCTTTCTACACATCTCGTCCATGAGCTGCATCGCGCGCAGCTGCTCTCCTCCCTTGTCACAAGCATGTATGGCAGCACCATAGGTGGCTTCGGATATAGATTCTCCCAAAAGACTGATAGCTCTCTCCCACTCCGAAGCCCTGCCACAGGCCGCTATGGCTGCGGTGTAAAAGGAATGGCCCGAAGCTCCTTTCCGTTGAAGCCGAGCAAGCAACTGTAACAAGATGCTCCATTCGTCTGTTCGGTCAAAGAGATCTGCAACCATTGCTTTCGTGAACATCCGGTCGGGAACATCACGCAGGAATGTTGATGCTAGCTGCAATTGCCGGGAGCTTGCCAGTGCCGTAATGATGTCCACGAAATCAGATCGCTGCGGAAGCAAATCTACCCGTGAAAGGCCTGCAAACCAATCCAATGCTTCTTCCCACATGCCGCGTATACCCAATACCTTCCCTGCTTTTGGCTGCAAGATCTCAGGACTCACTGTGGCAGTGCAAAACATGTTGGAAATCAGGTCTAGACGATCCCTTCTGGAGCGAACCAGTTCAACCTTGGCATGCTTTAAGAAAGAACCAGGATCCTTTCTCCGGCCGCCCAAACCACATAAAGCAACAACATAAAACAACAACATAAAACAACAAACATATCCTTTATATCAATCCTAAACCGTTTTACGCCCTAAGTCCTTTGGTACCCTTATGCTTATGCTGAACATGAAATCCCCGGAGCCAGCTCCTTCCCACCGTAGTGCACGTTCTTGGTCCGAAACCTAAGGAGGTGCCGGTATCTCGCTGATACTGGGTTTAGGTTGGGGTAATCGGAACCTTAAAACCCTAAACCTTGCACCCTCAACCACGAACCGTTAAACCCTAAACCTCTCAATTCGAACTCAAAGCTTCAGGGTCTATGGGGCCGATCAAAACTTTGAGGTTGGGTACCGCCTCCACCGTGTAATCTATCTTATAGTCATTATCTGTGATATATATATATATATATATGTATATATATATATATGTGTGTGTGTGTGTAATGAGGGCCCAAGTCGCCCGCTCATGGAGCGGGAACCTTGTAGTGCCCCAAGGACATGGAAATCAGAATGGAGCACTCATGCTGTGGACAATCGCTGCAACACATGCGGCGCTTTGCAGTGGCCCACGTGCGAGGACGTAGCTCGTGGCTATGCTGTGCCTTCCCCTGGTGATGATTTGTGCCCTTTGAACGTTCGGGGCGATGCAGAACTTGTTTGGGATAGCGTGGCTGGCTTGATAGCGTTGATGGGAATACATGCTGGGACGAGTGCATTCAGGTTTATAAACTGGCATCTGTGATGCACAGCGTGCATGGCATCGGGAACCTCGGGAACCTCTGCAGCTGTGCGCGGGAGGAGACCTGGGTAACCAGAAGGCTGGCACCAAACGGTTTGATGTGGTGGAGGTGGTGGTGACATCACTCGCTGCTGCTCAGGCGGATGCGGAACATGGAAAAGTTCTTGTACAAGTTTCTGAAGGCAGCCAGGACCCAGATCGCGGCAAACGACTTTTCACACTGCATGACGACTTTGACTATACGGCTCGCAGGCGTGGGTCACGGGAGCCAGTTGTGGACGTCGGAATGCAAGGTTCAGTCCAACACGCAGCTTTTCAGAATGATAGCCCCGCAGGGAACAGATGCTGCAGCCACATCGGCAATTCTTGTCGGGAGCTGTTCTGCATCGAGTATGGCATCTAACCCGATACCCAGCTGCTTTTGGACACGATTCTCGGTGGCGGTTGGTGCCTTCCCAACAAGCCGTTTGCTGGCAGCTGCACTCAAGGACACTGTGCATGCAATGTTGGCAAAAGGGGCACCGGATCCAGTTTGGGACCCTCTGCTGGAGCGCCTCCTGTTGGACAGCGCACAAAGCCCAGACATTACCGATTTCCGGACCAATTTGCTGCCTCACCACATCCACTTGGGTAGTTTTCCAAATTACGGTCTCCTTTGGGGTCCTTTTCATAAGGGTGCCGTACCATATTGGGGACCTAAAAGGGGACCCTAATTTAGAAAACTACCCACTTGATGGTCCCTGTCGTGGTAGTTCATGGCGGGCTGTCGGTGTAATGGGAGGGCTTTTGAGCCTGAAGGTGCGGAGCAACGCACTGCCGGTGAGTGCACACTGTGGATGCTTTTCCCTTATAGATTTCTGCGCGACCTTAAGTGACTAATTATGCGCAGCTAGATGCGCATCCGACTCGCATTCGAGCATTATGGACTGTATTTGCGCTAGATGTGCGACCGACTCGGATTCAAACATTATGCTATATATTCGCGCTAGATGAGCAACCGATTCGGATTCATGAATTCTGGGGTGGAAAAGAAGGATATATATATATATATATGATTTTCAATTTCCTTGACTTATTTAGCTCTAGTATATACGTCTTATCATCCAACTGTTACAGAGTGGGGGCCGTACCCAGGCTAGAGATTAGATTTCCGGGCCCATCAACAGCTCAACACTAGTGTTTGGGATTTCGCGGTTTAGAGCACAGGGTTTGGAAGTTAAGGGCTTATAGGGTGTAGGGGTCAGGATTAAGGGGTTTAGGGGTTTTGGATTTAGGGTTTGGCGGTTTACGTTTTGAGGGATTTGGGGTTTAAGGTGTCGGGCTTGACAAAATGTGTAGAGGAGAATCTTCAAAAAGGCTACGGGATTCAGATAACAACCAAAAAAAAATAGCAACTGCTGTAGTACGGACATGTATGCTCCACGTAAAGCAAAAGAAACGCCAAGCCCCAAAACCCTGTGGCCAGAAAGCCTGAAACCCTACACCCTAAAGCCTGTAGGCCTTGCAACCTAAACCCCAAGCACTACACCGGAAAAGTACTCCAAACTCTACTCTAAGCATTGCGAACCTGAACCTGCAATCCTCGATCCGAAACCTTATTAAGCACTGCTTCCCAAAAGAAGCCTCACCACATATCCCAACCGAACACTTGCAACCCTGATGCGCCGATGAACTGGAATAGGCTTGTGGGGTATACTACAGCAGAATTTACGATGATCATTTAAGCATCACATGGGGGTGGCTATTACTAGGTATTCAGGCCACTCTATAAAACCACGCGGATATAGCCCGACACTCCTTCTAAAGCTTCTGTGCTTCGAAGCAGCAAGCCTCTGTGGACCATTTCTCGGAGAAAGTCACAGGCCGCGTCCCAGGATCCAGCAGTACTGCATGCAGAAAAGCCCTGCATTCGGGATTTAGAGTTTGGGTTTGGGTTATAGGGCCTTAAGGTTGGCAGGGCTTATTGCAACGGGGTTTTGCGTTTCTGGATGGCGACAGAAGGACGCATGTGCTCAGGAAGAAAAAACAGCACGAAGAAATTAAACCCCAAGAGGCTACGGGAAGCCTCATGGCTGTTCATATGCACGGGACCCTAAGTTTGTTACATACTTGAACTGAAGCTCATCTTTATTTACAGGGGCTACGCTGCCCATTAATTATACTATTTTCCAAGCATCCTAAACCCTCAACCCCACGCCCCAAGCCCCACGACCTGGAAGAGAGAGTACGAGCTGGGATTGACCGCCATATCCCTCATCTGCTTCAACCAGGCTCGCGTTTTTGTGACGTCGTCGGAAACGTGGCGGAGACCCACGATATAGTGGTACGAAGTCAGACTGACACCGCAGGCTTGCAATTGAATGAAAACAGGCAGTACATCCGAGACCAAGCTGCACTTCTTGTCCAAAATGTGACAGGACATGCGCAGTCTATCCTGCCAGTAGCTTGACGGCAGAGAAATCTGTCTGGCATGCATGCCAGCCAGGAAATGGCTGCCCGCCGACCAATCGTCCCTGATGCAATTGCAGGCACATCTGCCACGAGCTTAATTTCAGGACCCTGTTTTGAAACTATCCATGTTGGGGTTTCCGCAACGAAAATCAATTTCGGAACCCGCTGTCCTCCGGGCACAGGCATCGAGGGCTCTTTCATACGAAAGAGCGTTTGGCTTTACTTTCTTCTTCTTCATCCTCTTGAAGATCCGCTTCGCTTCCACGGCATCAGTTTCGGTCTTGGACAAGTCCAAGTTGAAATCCTCCAGGACCCTCGTGGCATCCAAGCCTGGTCTCTTGACCTGAAGCTCCACTGCAGCAACGACTTCTGCTGCCGACGGGTTGACAAGTTCTGCCACCTTCTGGGTTTAGGGTTTACGGTTAAGGTTCAGGGTTTAAGTTTAGGGTTAAAGGTGTAGGGTTTAGGTTTAGGGTTTAGGGGTTGGGTTTTCGGGTTTAAGGCCACCTTCTGGTACTCGAACTCATCCGGCTGGCAGGCAGCCTGCACCTAGGGAAGCGTGGCTCAGCACTCGTGGGACCGAACTAGCTGCAGGCTGCAGGCTCTAGGGCTGAAGCAAACACACCAATTACAAAATAAACGAAACAGAGCTACCTGCTAAACCAAAGCCCAAGCACGACCCCGACAGAAACTCCTAAACCCTAGACCCTAAAACCATATTTAGGCATGCACCAGTTCCGCCGAAAGTTCGATGGCAGCATGCCAGGCTCGCAAAGCCGTCTGGTCAAGCACCTGCCCTCCCTGACGGATCCTGCGGAGGGTCTCTGGGATAATGGATTCAGGGTGTAGGGTTTAAGGGTGCAGTGTTGAAGCTCGAAGGAGTTTAAAGGGCAGGAGATAGAAGGTTCAGGACAGGGGTTCAGGCCTCCGGGTCCGCGGGTCTAAGGATAGAGGCTTTAGGGTTTAACACTTGGGGGGCAGGGTTCAGGGCTTATACAGATAGAGGTTCATGAATTGGGGGTCTTGCGTTTCTTGTCTTGGATTTCGTTGAGAGCATCTGGCTGCGAGGATTCGGGTCCCGGGGTATACAGGGCTAGAAGCAAGGCAGCAGGGGGCAGTGTTTCAGCGGTAAGGACATGCGTGTGTGTGTATATATATATATATATGCATGCATGTATGCATCTATACATACATACATCTACACATACATGCATACATACATACGTACACATCTACCTATCTATTTACCTACCTGCCTGCCTACCTGCCTACCTGCCTACCTGCCTACCTGCCTACCTGCCTACCTACCTGCCTACCTGCCTACCTGCCTACCTGCCTACCTGCCTACCTGCCTACCTGCCTGCCTACCTACTTACCTACCTACCTCCTACCTACCTACTACGCCTACCTTCCTGCCTACCTTCCTTCCTTCCTACCTACCTACCTACCTACCTACCTACCTACCACCTACCTACCTACCTACCTACCTACCTACCTGCCTGCCTGCCTACCTACCTACCTACCTACCTACCTGCCGGC